GAAGGGGGGAACCATGACATTGTGACTCTGGGACAATGACATTGTGACCTCTGGGTCCAGGACACTGTCATCTCTGGAACCATGACATTGTGACCTCTGGACCATGGCATTGTGACCTCTAGGAACATGACATTGTGACCTCTGGGACCATCACATCGTGACCTCTAGCACCATGACATTGTGACCTCTAGGTCCATGACATTGTGACCTCTGTGTTCATGGCATTGTGACCTCTGGGACAATGACATTGTGACCTCTGGGACCATGACATTGTGACCTCTAGCACTATGACATTGTGACCTCTGGGTCCATGACATTGTGACCTCTGGGACCATATTGACATTATGAGCTCTGGAACCATGACATTATGACCTCTGGGTTATTGACATTGTGACCTTCAGAGCCCTAATTTCTTGGCTTCTGAGGTGAAAGGATGTCTAATCTAGTATTACTATTTCAAAAATCTTGTGTTTCACATTTGGGTTCTATATCTACAAAATCAAGTTCATGTCTATAATATACAAAAATACAGTAAAAGTATCCTAGTACCTAAGTACTAAAAAGAAAGTTGCAACAAGCTGATATTGTAAATCATGATTCCATAACACAGCAGTCACAAGAGGAGGGGGGGTCTATATAAGCTTATAATTTATCGTATTCCGAGGAGATTCAGCCAACTGATGAGCTGTGAGTCCCGAAACATAGAGCGGTAGATTTCCCTATGGATAAGATTTTGAACACAGAATTTCACTCACCATCATAAAAACTGCAGCATCATTTGAAGCAGCATCCACAAGGGAAAAGAGTAGTACCACTTCACTGAGCATAGGTAAGGACTAGATAGATATGCCTTTTTTTTAGCAAGAAAAACATTGATCTCTGGAACTCATCACTATAACAGCTGGCACCATATACATAGCTCTCATAATCCGAAATGTCATGCAACTTGAGAGAAATGTTTATTTCATTTGTGAGCTACCGGGTATCAGTCTCTACAGTTAGATGGAGATTGCAGGGTGGGGACTAGTACTGCTGCATTCCTCTTCGAAAATGCCAAATTTGGAACTTTTGATGCGTTGGGGCCGGAGACTATCAAGTTATAGATAATATCACCCTGCAGAAAAGGGAGTAAAAACAACGCACATGTGACGCACATGTCCCTGGTGGCTAATGTATGCACAGAAGACAGTGCCAACAACTTGGCATCATTATTTGAGGTTCGAATCTTGATCCGCGCGGCTTTTGCCAAGTTAGACTTTCTACCCAAATTGCAGAAGTGTGCACGCAGGGTTCCCTAGCTTTGGGCATAAATTCCAGGCTTTTATATTCTTACCAAGCCAGGTAGGTGTTGATATAAGCACCTGTGTTGCACCTGTACTGTGCCTTTTGCTAATGACATTGTAGCTTTGAGATTCTCTGTAATGTAGTTTTACCATTACGCTATCTTTGGCAGCAATGGTTTAAGCTTGTCTGTAAATAGCGCTGTCTAGACATTGTTATTTTAGAATGTCATAATACATAAAACTCCTTCCTTTTTTGCCTTAAAAATCTTATTGAACTTGACTTTGAATATATCCTGACCTTATCTCTTTTTAGTAATCAAAATATTGTTGTACTGTAAATTTTTCATCAATTAATTTGAAAATTAAAAAGACAAAAATTAAAAGTAGTTTGTTTACTTTTGGCATACATGTTGATTTAAAATCAAAAGGCATATATCGTGCCTTTCAATTCTAACATGTATATCGTTTGCATTCATGCTATTTAAAGCTAGAATCAGGAAGTAAGCCAGGGCTTCTTTGGTTGCTAAGATTACATTGCACACATTTCAAAATGAAGTGGATGTATACTTATATGTATATGTTTGTACATTGGTATCTTCATTGAAATGTTATACTAGTACTTGCTCCGGAAATAATGCCAAAGATTTTAGGCAGAGACAGCTGTAGTCCCCAACGGCCGAACACTTGGGTTCAACACGTACAAATGCATTAAGAATATCATTTAAAAGTTGTTGGTAGCCCCAGTGCCTGAGCAGTTGTCTAACGCCACAGCAAGTAATTTTTATGGATGACATCAGCGCGCGCATTAATTTTTGCCTGATTTGGGGGAAAAAAAACAAAAATTTCATTGCCTTCTGACAGTGGTCACCATGCCGAAATGGGCAAAGATGTCTGTTGCCATTCCAGAAGGTGGATGGCAGATAACTATGAAGAGAGGAGACAAGACAAGGCTCTGATTTAATATTTTGTTTCTTACTTTGATGCAGTGATATGTGATGTTGGCTGTGTATATGTGATGTTACCACTGAATCAAAAGTATTTGTTACAGTACAATGATTGAGCCAAAATTTTAACGCGTAGGAACCTTGTTTTTTTTTGGCCTGCCTTGTTTTTTTCGCCCGCTCGCATTAGATTTGGAGTCTGCGGAGGATGGCATTCATAAAATGGACTTGCTGTGGCCTAAATCCCAGTCGTTTGCTTCTCACTTGCCTGTTCCAGAGGGATAACCTTTATGCCTCCAGCAACAGCCGGCTTGGCAGGCGTTTCGTTATCACTATATTTTCTCCAGCTGTGTAGCTTTTCTACTGTCTACCACAGGGTATTCTGCTCAAAATGTTCAATAAATATAGCAGTAAAATTCGTTTTCAGGGCTCAAAATTCATTTTTGGAAATAGGTGCACTTGTGCACCCAATGCAAAAAATTGGATGCACAAAATATTTTTTTGAGTGCACCCAACCCAAAAAAGATTGGACACACAAAAATTTTAGGGGGTGCACGATATAAAATAGAGTAAGTAGAAGAGAATGTCAAAAACTAACAATAAGTACTACAACAACTTTCTGAAACATTTGTAAGATCTTTTCATAGAACCTATGAAAATATGTGCACTGGTGCACCCACAGAAAAAAACTGGGTGCACAACTCCAAATTTGTGTGTACTAAGGTGCACATGCACCTAGTATTTCGAGCCCTGACTACTAGTATATTTTCTACAGCTGTGTCACTTTTTTACTTTCTAGCGCAGGGAAATTCTACTCATGATGTTTAATGAGGCAATTAATTTTTTTTAAACAATTGTTTGGGCCAGGAAGAATTTATTTTGCTGAGTATATTAACAAAAAGATCACTTTGTCTTAAGATTTTTGATGGAATAACCTTAACCGCAACCTCCTTGCCTTGAAACATATTGGGTCCATCTGGATAGACTAAGTCAATAGTAACAGTAACGTTCACACAAAAGTGTAGACAATACATAAGTCACACCAATTTAATTCTTGGTTAACGGATTTTTCTAGAAAAAATAATGGAGCGGGCGGGGGAAAAAAAACAGGCCTAGGCATCCCAAAATAGTATGATAGGAGCCATGAAGTCAACACACCAGGCTGGTTCAAAATTTAAACGATGAATTTTGAACTTTTAATGATACCATTGCATTGAAAGATAGAATAACTGTAACAACTAGGATGAAAAGGACTGTTTTCGACTGTTCAGGGCAAAATATGAGCATTTTGCAGTTGATTCTGAATTTTTATTTTTATTTGGAAATCAGAAAAAAATGAACCGGGTGAATCTGTTAACCAAGAAATTAAATTGGTGTGGCCTTAGCACTGGCTAATACAAATGGGATTTGAAGATTTTCCTGTTCTTGCTTTCCATTTTATGTTCTGGTTTTCTAGTGACAGAGCCAAATTGTTTCTTTTATCATTCTGGTTGAATCAGATATTTAATCTTTAATGGCAACAGGTGGCTGACAGGCATTTCCAATGCAATAATGTGTTACAAATGGATTAATTATTGTTGTAGGAAACTAGATGCGAGTAGAAACTGTTAACAGAAAGATCGAACCCACAGCAAACCTGATGCTCTAACCATTCAGCCAAAAGGTCTAGACCTGTCAGATGGATCAGTTGGTAGTGCCTGTAAACTCCCCACTGTTACATTGTCTTTAAAAGAAAGCCTTAGTTTAATATAATAATATAGTTCAAACTTCAGACATTCAATGAAAAGCACAAAACATAAATGTTTCAGAGGAAATACAAAATCATAAATTGCCAGAAATTCTTTATATGAAATTCCTTCAGGAAGTACAATTTATTTTCTCTACAGTAATTATTTCGATCAGTCAGTATTTAAAGTAAGTTTACTGATGATTTTCACAGTCTGAAAGATAAAAGAGTCCTAAGCTTTAAGGACTTTTTCTTACTACATGTACATGCACAGAATACTAATGTAAGACGTAAAGATTTACATGTAAATCCCTGTGGACAAGAAAGATCTAGAATCTAGGGCAATCTGTGCATGGTCACTCTGATCACAGGCAACTTCTCAGAAATCAGAGAGAAGATCACTTAGCAAACCAAAAACAGAAGGTCTTAGCATGTGTTTCGCAACAAATTTATCATCCTCCTTCCACAAATGAACATTCTGTTGTACCCACCTTTAGGAATCGGCTGTTATAAGTGGTAGAAACTTTGTCTTGCGTCTCTTCCGCAACACTGACCAGTCCTGTGGCCTAGCATGCTGATCCAAAGTTCAGGGATGGGTCAGAAATTCAAGATATGCTAGCGGTGATAAAACCCACTTGTATAAGCCTCAGGCAAGTGTACTATCAGCTCCCCAGATTTCCAAGTGCTGTAAGAATACTGTTGGCAATCTGGGCTAGGTGACAATATGCAAGAGGGATCCTGGAGCTTGATGGAATTGAAACTGTACACTGGTACCTCCTAAGGGTTGCCAAGGTTATAAGCAATGTTCTTGAGGGATGGATGGAAGAAGGGGAGCGAGCTACACCCCCACTGAGGAATGGTGGAAGCTTTAATGAGTTTTCAGGACTGGGAGACTGCAAGAAACCACATGAGTGCGGGATTCTACATCTGTTGTTAGTGTTACAGTGGGGAGCCAGCTAGGGCGTAAAAAAAAAGAAACAGGCTGTGTTTGTGTTAACTGGTTGCCATTCAACCCAACGTGGTCCTTTTCTGTCGGCATTCTTGCTACAGGGAACGGAGGGAGCGGCAGTGTTATCAAACTGGGTTCCTCCCGACTCATCGATATGGACAATCCACCCAACTCTCGCATCTTCATCGTCTGCAGTAAGAATCACACGGAAGCTGAGCTCAAGTATGCCTTCGAGAAGTTCGGAGACATGGAAGACATCTGGCTGGTGAAGGATAAGGTCAGTGCTTTTTAATACAGAACTGTGGCAGAAATACTTTTTTGCAGTGCAAATTCTGCAATATTGCGTTTTGTCAAAATTTTGTTCTGCAATTCAGGGTGGCCCGCAGGCCCTTTTCCGTAGAGCGTAATCGGCCGTTTTATTTCTACGTAGAGCGTAGACGGACCGCTCTAATATCTAATTTGGAATTTATCGTAAAGCGTAATCGAGAGGTTTCCGAATTCAGCGTAGAGCGTTGTCGGGTCCCCCCCTTGCAGGCCCTCATTCAGGAAAGCTTTCTCCAAATACATACTGGATCAATACTCATGGCATATACAAAATTTCATGTTGGCATACACTTTACTTTAAAATTACTTGGATATTATATACATATATATAGAATCAGTACAATGTAGTAAATGCAAAAGCTCTTAAACATCATTGAACCACTAGCCTGATTTTTTTCAGTCTGCAAAATTGCAGGTTGCTTAATTTTTCTTCTGCAATATTGAAAACGTCTCTGCTGCAAAATGGAAACTGCAGATGGGTATTTCTAACACTGAAATGTAACTGTCAAGTATGACTTTCTATGAAATGTGAAATATTGCATCGAGGGTGTATGTAACTCTATCATTGTCTAATGTTTTCAATAACTTTTTTCAAGGATTAAAAAAAGAGGATATCTACAGGAATAAAAACATGACATTGTACATTATACATGTAGTTTTCAGGTTTATCATTGAAATTGTCTTTTCAGGTAAATCATTATATAATCACTATATTACCGGTAGTTAAGCCACACCAATTTAATTTGTTGGTTCTCGGATTTTTCAGAAAAAATATGAAGCGACAGGGCGAAAAAAAATAAAAATAAAAACAGGTCTAGGCATCCTATTATAGGCTTAAATGCTACAAAATGAGCCATGAAGTCAACACAAAAGGCTGGGTTAAAATTTAAACATTGAATTTTGAACTTTTAATCACACCACTGCAATGATAGATGGGAAAACTGTAACAACTAGGAAGAAAAGGACTTTCCTCAACTGTTGGGGGGCAAAACATGAGCATTTTTCAGTTGATTCAGGACCAGAATCAAATTTTTTTATTTATTTGCAAATCAGAAAAAAACGAAGAGGCGAATCCGAGAACCAACAAATTAAATTGGTGTGGCCTTATGAAAAAGATACTAAATCTGCGATAGGAAAAATCAGTAGAATCTATTGTTATGTGTACACAGTTTAAAATTGAATCTTGTGGATAGAAGTTCTTTCGGGAGGGTTTTTCCACTCAGCACTTCACATAGCAGCTCGGTCAGCTGTGTCTGTGTTTAGTTTAGATCTGACCTGAGCCACAAATACGGCAATATTTATAAACATCTCCGACCCATTTCATCACAGCCATGTGGCATGGGAAGTCATTTGTTAGTCGGTCTAACTTTGGGGGTGACTGTTTTTTTTTTAGGTCATGCTTGTTTAAATTGTTTTGTAGTAGTTTTCAATTTAGGAAATTGCACACCTGACCCTCTGGCAATTAAGGCTTAGATTTTAGCTATTATGTAATAATACAAGAGGAAAATATAATATGTTAAGCATCGTATTCATAATGTAATAGTAATTTCCTGTAATTCATAATCTACACATACAATTGCCATTGAATTATGAGATAAACAAGTGCACTTTTCATAATTATGTCAAACATGTACAATTTGTTAGAAATTTGTTTGCTTTGAAATTCTTGAACCATTTACTTACTAGATATGTGTTAACGGCTTTTCTGGCCTTGCTATAATTCATCTTTTTTATTCTGTACTTTGAAAATGACAAGCTTACATTTTGTCAAGTTGATATTGTGAATTTTTTTGTACTTTAAATGTACATTTTGTACATACAACTGCTGGAAAATTCGTTTGTAGGGACTGAGGAGTTGTTCCCAGTTATTCAGCCAGAAGTTATGCGCAAAACATGTGTTTTGTAAGTAACACATAATTACCTACACACACCTTTAAGGCACAGGCTGCTACACAATGTTACCACAGGCCATCTGTCAATTTGACAACTAACAGAAGATAACAAATTCTTTTAAGAATTCTTTCAATTAAAATTCTAATTGATCTTAATTGTTCTAACACACCAGTATCTGATTTCAAAAACTTACTTTGGGTTTTCAATTACAAAAAAGTATTCTGCTCCATTTGATTTGGGTACACCGATGAACAAAATCATTACCTCCATGCTATTGTGTATATCTCATGGATCATTTGGTCTTACTTTAACTGATCAAAGGAAGGCTTTAGGGTAGAGTTTTGTCAACAGTTCACTTGACTGGCTGTCTTTGAAAGTACTAACAGTTGTCTCTGAATATACAAAATGTTAGGTACCAGACAAGGGCAATGAACTTTGTGTCAGTTACATCAGACTCGGAGCACAAGAAAGTTCGTTCACATCAATTCTTCTTTTCTAAGATTATCGCTATGACAACTATTGTCTTAACAACTTTATAAGACTCCAAGACGAGATCTTGACCGGGTTGAAAAATATCTACAGAGTGTGTCTTGAAAGCTCACAAAAGTAGCTGACTTTTGTTGTGTGTTTGGTTATAACTATTCGTCAAAACATTATAAGACTTTCATTTTGAAAATTTGTGTTGATTGTGAATAAAATTATCCAATCTAAAGAGCAATAAAATGGAGAATATAGATGTAGTACCCCCCCCCCCAAATGATTGTACAGTAATTATATGACATTGTATATGTAGGGAAATCTTTCAAACATACTTTTAATTTTATATAAATGTACTCATTCCCTTTCCAAGCCCAGAAGGATATTGAAAGATACATTTTTGGATACTTGTTCATTTTATAATTCACAATTAAGATTGATTTATGTGAATGACTTTCATGTTGTTTTTACAGAAATCCATATGACACAGTCTAGACTTGCCTGTCCCCCTGCCCAGTTGAATGATTATGTTTGTCCAACATTCTCAGCTGGACACTGTTCTTTTGTGGCCTGTAACCAAATCTGCATGATGCTCAGACTAGAAGGCCTATTTTTGGGTCATCTGTGTCTGTCCTTTCCTAGAAAGGGCATGTGTAGGGGTTACAATGATGTGCCGAAATCATTAAGTACATGTAACTTTGATACAAGATAGGGTTTCAGTAACATTCTTCCTTGCTCTACATGCAGAAGGGAAGATTTTTAAAGGCAAAAAGGAATTGGGATTTTTATGTAGAAAGATTGAATTTAGTTGTCTATTCAGTGTAACTTGTATGAGGGCCTGCAAGCCCTTTTTCGTAAGGCGTAATCAGGCCGTTTTAGACTTCGTAATTCGTAGGCAGCCTCCGCAAAAATCAACGTAATTCGTAATTGGACATTAGCCGCAAATCGTAAAGTCGTAATCAGCTCTGAGACTTTAACGTAATTCGTAATAGGCGGCGAAAATTTTGCGTAATTCGTAATCACTACCCCCCTTGTAGGCCCTCTTGTATTGATGCTTTGTTGTAGTACAGGATTTTATCAATCAATCAATACTATTAGGTTTGAAGAATAAATATAATCAATTTACGTAAATGTTTCTCGGCACAGATCCGAATAATGTTACCACCCGCATGTGTATATTTCTGGGATATCTGCAACCCCCAAGAGAGCCTTCCTCGCAGACAGACAGTCCCCAGACTGTGTACATCTGGGCTGCATATGGAGGGTTTGGGGTGACCCACTTTCCCCATGTCAAACCAGGGGTGATTGCCCTGATGTGGCTGGACACCCCCACAGCACCCATCAACATACAGGCATGACAGCACAGGGGCAGCAGGGGGACAGTCTCTGAAGTTCAAGGGGACCAGGATAGTCTCTGAAGTTCAATGTTGAACTACATGTACATCTATCATTCAGCAGACAGATTTTGAACGACATGGTCTTCAGCACCCATCAACATACAGGCATGACAGCACAGGGGCAGCAGGGGGGACAGTCTCTGAAGTTCAAGGGGATCAGGATAGTCTCTGAAGTTCAATGTTCAACTAGACATAAACCAGTTTAGCAGATAGATTTTGAATGACAATAATGTCATGGTCTTCATCACCCATCAACTCACAGACATGACAATACAGGGGCATTTAGGGGGACAGTCTGTGAAGTTCAAGGGGATCAGGATAGTCTCTTAAGTTCAATGTTCAACTAGACATCAGTTTAGCAGACAGATTTTGAATGATGTACATGTGCATGTACATGTAGTCTTCAAGTTCAATGTCAAGTATGGGTAACAGATTTGAACTGCCAGAACACATAAGGTTGGTTGCCAGAAGTCAGTGATGCTGTAGCCAGACAACGTTTTTACATTGCGGAACGGAATCCAATGTTGTTTTGGGTGGCTGAGCTGTAGGTTTGTGTGTCTGTTTGCCTGGACAGGGTAGGTTGACAGCACATGGGTTGGCAGAAGATTGTTTAATAGCAGGTAAAAGGTCCCAGAATCTGGCTGGGAGCCAGTGGTAATTGGAGGTGGACATGGGGGAATTCAGGAAGCCAAGGATTGCATGCTTCAAAAAAGTCTGAAAATCTCTGATTTCTGGATTTTCAATGTTGACCTTGGAATCATGAATGTCAAGTTGAGAATAATACTAACAGTTGACAACTTACAACAAATGATGATGTTTACTTGTAACTCCAGACCAAGTAAGGATACTTTGCCAGTGGCAGTACCGGTTCTAGAGTTATAGATAAGCCATATATAATACTTATGAAATTCTGAGAATGTACAGATGTAGTACACATGGGTTTTGTGTTGCATTCAGTGCCCTTGAACTTGAAGAAGTGACTTTCTGTATAAAAAAATGTAGTAACTGGTTTTAGTCATGAAAATCATGGCTGCATACTTGGGCAACTCTCAGTGTTCAGCAGAATGTACTGTGCCTTCGCAAGTTTTTTCATGGTTTTCGTTGGATGAGGGCCTGCAAGGGGGCTAGTGATTACGAATTACGCAAAATTTTCGCCGCCTCTTACGAATTACGTTCAAGTCTCAGAGTTGATTACGACTTTACGATTTGTGGCTAATGTCCAATTACGAATTACGTTGATTTTTGCGGAGGCTGCCTACAAATTACGGAGTCTAAAACGGCCTGATTATGCCTTACAAAAAAGGGCTTGCAGACCCTCTTGGATGTTTGGTCAACGTTGCATCAAAATTTTTCATATGGCAGATGATATCTTTTCTGATATAGCATTTGGAAACTACAGACGGAGTGTTAACCTTATACATGTATAGGCAAAAACGACCTTATATGAGACGTTCTGCCGTAGTGCTACCCTGAGGGCCTGCAAGGGGGGGTAGTGATTACGAATTACGCAAAATTTTCGAATTACGTTAAAGTCTCAGAGCTGATTACGACTTTACGATTTGCGGCTAATGTCCAATAATTACGAATTACGATTTTTGCGGAGGCTGCCTACGAATTACGGAGCCTAAAACGGCCTGATTACGCCTTACGAAAAAGGGCTTGCAGGCCCTCCTACCCTCAGCAATCTTAGGCAGCTAATGCAAAGAACAGAAATCAGTTTTCAGTCCAAAGGGAATACTTAATGGGTGGGTAGGGTAGTGATTACGAATGATGCCAAATCTTTGCCGCCAAGTATGAATCACGTTAAATTCTCCAGGACTGATTATGAATTACAGTTAATTTTATTACCAATGATGAAAAAAACTAACAGTTTTGAAAACAAGTTTCCAATCTTTGCCGCCAAGTATGAATGACGTTAAATTCTCCAGGACTGATTATGAATTACAGTTAATTTTATTACCAATGATGAAAAAAAACTAACAGTTTTGAAAACAAGTTTCCTCAACTGTTGCCAGAAAATAGGAGCAAATGGGGTTCATTCAAATGCTAAATAGTAGGTGACAGTTGTGATCTTTTTATTTTTCAAATCAATGGTATTCCCACCAAGACTTTTATTAGAATTCTTTTTAGAATTATCGGGATATCGTACATGGCTTCTAGAATGTTTGGAACGTTTTTTGAGTTGGGAAAACTGTTTACAAAGTTAAAACCAAGTTTAAAATGTTTGAAAACTATTTTAGAAATGCTTGCAAACATTTCAAAACAATTCCAAACAATGGGAGCAAACTCCCATTGGAAAAATTGTACTCTGAGGCCACACCAATTTAATTTCTTGGTTAACGGATTCGCCGCTTCATTATTTTCTGATTTGCAAATGAAAATAAAATTCAGAATCAACTGCAAAATGCTCATATATTTTGCCTTTAACAGTTGAAAACAGTTCCTTAATTACTACTTGTTACAGTCATTCCATCTTTTATTGCAGTGGTATCATTAAAAGTTCAAAATCCATTTAAAATCCGTTTAAATTTTGAACCAGCCTGGTGTGTTGACTTCATGGCTCCTATCGTACCATTTTGGGCCATAATAGGATGCCTAGGCCTGTTTTTATTTTTTTCGCCCGCCAGCTCCATTATTTCTCTAGAAAAATCCATTAACCAAGAAATTAAATTGGTGTGGCCTGAAGGCTGCATGGTCTGAAAACCAGGAAATGGCATTGCTTTGGCCCTTACATTAATTTTCCCTGCTAGAGCTAATCATGTTTCTGAAAGGGTAGGGCAGGGCGGAGTGACCGCATTCATATTTCATGTCCGTGCCTCTGCCAGGGGCCAGGAGATTACAGTGATTGAAACAGACGTTCAAGTTCAACTCACAGTTCATCTCAAGGTGACTTCAAGGTGAAATGAAGGGCGAACACGTTCAGGGGAAGTCAAAACTTGGCTCAGATGAAGTTTCAAGAATACTCTTGATGTGAGATTCTCTTACCACTATGAATTTCAGTAGATGGAGATTACAGATATCATAAATGTTGTTTTGGCAAAGTATGGCAAGAACGGTATGTGGATATCTATAAAAGTTGTTCAATATATAAAAACATTTTATGATTAATATTGTAAGTCTGTGTGCTTGCATACACATGAAATTCTTTTAAAAGGTCCAATGTATAACATTCAGTTCAATCTTCCATTTTCCATGAAAACTGACTTGCCCATAGCCTGGAGGATTTTGAATGGGGGGGGGGGGGTTCGGTCCCACTGCTTGAGGGACCAACGAGCGCTGTAGACGCGATGTTCCTAGGGGGGGGGGTTGCATGCTTCCCTTGAAAATTTTGAAAAATGAACCTTCTGAAATGGCATTTCCTGCGTTTTCTAGAGGATTTTAAAGAAGAAAATCAGAGATAACTTTTTTCAATGACAAAGTGAGCAGTTTTCCTACTATTCCAGCCTCGCTGGTGACACGAATCAGTCCATCTTTTAAAGAAAAATCTTGGACCTTTAGATAAAAAGTGGACCAAAAAGTGCACCTTGGAGCCTTGTGGGGGGGTTCGTCCGAAGACTGCCGAACCCCCCCTGGCTACGGGCATGAGTGGCATAAAGAATATTCCAGCTAGTCTAGCAACTACAAATGTTATCAATGAGGATACAAACAAGCTGACATATTTTGGATAACAGAGATACTTCGAGACTGTTTGTGTGTCAGCTGACTTACAACAGCTTGTAAAGAAAGAGGGCCTGCATGAGGGGTAGTGATTACGAATTACGCTAAATTTTCGCCGCCGATTACGAATTACGTTAACGCTTCAGAGTTGATTACGACTTTACGATTTGCAGGTAATGTCCTATTACGAATTACGTTGATTTTTGGCGAGGCTGCCTACGAATTACGAAGTCTAAAAAGGCCTGATTATGCCTTACGAAAAAGGGCTTGCAGACCCTCAAGAAACGGCTGTACTAGATTTGCCACTGAGAAAGTCATGCAAACAATTCAATATACACTGTACATTTGTACACGTACAGGGTCCGCATACCCTTTTCCGTAGAGCGTAATACATCGGTCGATTTCATTCTACGTATATGTAGAGCGTAGACAGACCACACTAATACAATGTAGAGTGTAATTGGCGCATTTTGCGAGGAGCGTAATTCGCTGTCTTAATTCTACGTAATGCGTTGTAACTACCCGGAATTTATCGTAAAACGTAATGAGGAGGCTTCTTGAATTCAGCGTAATACATAGCCGGCTCTCAAAATTTAGCATAGAGCGTTGTCGGGACCCCCATGCAGGCCCTCATATGTGTTTGTACTGGCTCACATTCATTTTATAACACACAATATCACGCCATTGCATGCAATAGCGAAAAAACTTAACTAGGTCAGTAAGTATAGAATTACATGATATATAGAAGGCAGTTTAGAAGGCCATGACATGACCGGATGATCCTGACTAAAATAACTGCAATACAGACAGCCTGTCCCTTCCCATACTAACATACCATCCAATGTCACAGACAGTCAGACACAAGGGCATGTTGATCCCCAGGCTTAGGCCTAGGAAAGAAAATGTTATGTTTCGTGTTTCATTCAAAAAAAAATTAGGGTCGGTAGGTAGGGATTATCATTTATTTTTAATTTTTTTTTAAAGACTTCAGTGATATCTATATAGGGATCCAACTTATACAACACAGTTTTTAAACTGTGTTGTATAACTTTGTTAAAACAAAGTAAAACTTGCATGAGGACACTTACATTTTCAATGTCAATGTTGGAAAACCGATTGTACAACATTTAATTATCACTCAGGTGTCAAATCATGGAGCTAGAAAAGGTTGATCAACTTGAAAAATTAATTTATTTATGTCCCTTGCAGGGGACCACCCAAAAAAAGTCTATGGTCGGAAAACAGTAAACATAACATTTTTTTCCCTAAGGCCACACCAATTCAATTTCTTGGTTAACGGATTCGCCGCTTCATTTTTTTCTGATTTGCAAATAAAAATAAGAATTCAGAATCAACTGCAAAATGCTCATATTTTGCCCTGAACAATTGAAAACAGTCCTTTCCTTACTACTTGTTGCAGCCATTCCATCTTTCAATGCAGTGGTATCATTAAAAGTTCAAGATTCATTGTTTACATTTTGAACCAGCCTGGTGTGTTGACTTTATGGCTCCTATCGTACCCTTTTGTGCCATAATAGGATGCCTAGGCCTGTTTTTATTTTTATTTTTTTTTCGCCCGCCCACTCCATTATTTTTCTAGAAAAATCCGTTAACCAAGAAATTAAATTGGTGTGGCCTTATGCCTAGGAAAAAAATGTTATGTTTCATTCCTGAAAAAATTAGGGTCGGTATGTAAGGTATGTCTTCTTTTTTTCCAGACATTATAATGATATCTATCAAGGAGTCCAACCTATACAACACAGTTTAACAAAGTAAAAGTTGCATGAAGACGCTTTATTTTCAATGTCAATGTTAGAAAACCAATTGTACAACGTTTTGTCACTCAGATGTCAAATCATGGAGCTAGAAAAGGTTGATCAGCTCAAAAAGTTAATTCATTTATGTCCCTTGCAGGGGTCCACCCAAAAAAAGTCTAGGGTCGGCAGGTTTTTCGAGCATTGGTAGGGAAACAGGAAACACAACATTTTTTTGCCTAGGCCTTAGTTGTCATTGACGTTCAAAGCTTGCCTGATATGTGATTCCTATAGATACAGAATGTCATTGCATGCTTGACCCTGCATCAAATGCGTCAGCTCTATAGTGACTGCGTCGTATAATTTGGGGTCGATAAAATCACTGCAGTGTCGCTTTGTTTAGTAGATTGTCAGGTACATCAGGGGTGTCAGAGTATACAGTGCAATTCTACGGAATACGGTGAAATTTTACGGAATACGGTGAAATTGTACTAGTATACAATGCAATTTTACGGAATACAGTACTATAGTATTAGTTACACAGTGCATATTTTCAGGAATACAGTGCAATCATATTAGTATACAGTGCAATTTTACAGAATACAGTGCAATGGTAGTACTAGTAAATTTGCACTGTATTCTGTAAAATTGCACTGTGTACTAATACAGTACTGTATTCTGTAAAATTGTACTGTATTCCGTAAAATTGCACTGTATAATATTTTTATTATTAATACGATTGTACTGTATTCTGTAAAATTGCACTGTATTCCATAAAGTTGCACTGTATACTCTGGCACCCCCGTACATTGTACATGTTCATTACATGTATGTGACAAGTTGACTGATGACACTATGATTAAATGCAGCCAAGTATTCAGTTCCTGTCATGTCAATGTGGAAAAACTTTGTGTCGTGTAATTATTTTTGTCAGCTAGAAATGAATGCCTTCGAAAAGATGATAAATGTGTTTTAGGAGACAACCCGGAAGAGTAATGAAATGAGTGGTAGTCAGCCTTGTTCCACATTCATTTGATAAAATTGTCCATAATCTATAGAAAATTAACAAGAATCATAACCTATGGTTTTATGGATGTGTGGGCTACACAATGGAACTCTAATATTAAAAAAACGTTTCAAACAGTTTTCCGGTCGAAAGAGAATTATTAAACCATTTTTGCCCTGTCGAAAGCTATCATCACATGGTTCATAAGACAGTAAACCCATTTGAAGTTGTTTACGATATTATGTTATGGTGAATTTTCACAGCCTGTGGATGGTACTATTTTCCGGAAAATCCGGATGGTACCCATGCTAGAATTTTCAATGCTGGGGAAACAATATTTCAGTCGTAAAGTACAATGTCATTTGTAGGGGGACTCCAACGTAGACCGTAATTGGCGCGTTTTGCATAGAGCGTAATTCGTTGCTTTGATTCTATGTAACGCGTCGTAACTACCCAGAATTCATCGTAAAACGTAATGGTACATTTGTACTTAGCCGGCTCTCAAAATTTAGCGTAGAGCGTTGTCGGTGACCCCCCATGCAGGCTCTCATTTGTGACAGTTCAAGGTCACAGTGAGTGATGCTGACAGTTCAAAGGTTACGGGGACAGTTCAAAAGGTCACAGCTGAAAGTACTTGATGACACAGGACAACACAGCAAGGTGCAGAAAATGGCCCCAATTTTCCCATGCCCTTTAACCGCACTGAATGGCTAACAGACTTCCGAAGCAATCTAGGTCACCTCCCTTTGTAACTCATCTGAGACCTTTAAAGGCTATAGGGGTGACGAAAGGAGGAAAGAATTTATGACAATTTATTGTGTGGTTGCCTCGTGTGCCCCATAGATCGAAAACAGATTGAAGTTGACCCATTTTCATAAAAAAAAGCAATTGTGCTAATACAAGACAGTCCTCCAATTTTTTGCCACATTGAAAGTGAAATAAGTCATTGAACTAATTTACATAAATCATGAAATTTATTAAAAGCATGTACAGATATGTAGCCCTTTAGATTTTAAAAAGGTGGTACTTTACAAGTATAAAAATATTGCTAACTTTGTTTATTTGCAATATTGATAACTTTGTTTTTCTTGAATTATACATACATGTAGTTGTTAATTTTCTGCTAACATCTGTGTCCATAATATCACCAGGGTCCATAATATCACCACCTTGAGAAATAGAGTGCTTAAAGATATTTTTACTGCAACATACTTTGGTATGCACTCCTGCA